AGAGCACAAAAGTAAGAACAAAGATGATAAATTAGACTTCAGCCATTATACAGAATGAAAAGTCAGTTCTGAGAACTGGAGTGAGCACAACATAGAGTTGCTACGGGCTCTAAAAGGAACTTGCATCACTTGGGAGACTAAAGCAGCAGGCCAAAGAGGGTAAAACCAGCCTGAGCTACAGAGCAAGACTTGGTCTCAAAAACAAAACAAAGCAAGCTGGCAGTGATGGCACACGTCTTGAATCCCAGCACTCGGGAGGCAGAGGCAGACAGATCTCTGAATTTGAGACAGCATGGTCTACAAAAGCTAGTTCCAGGACAGCCAGGGCTACACAATGAAACTGTCTTGAAAAACCAAAACAACAAGAAAAAGAAAACCAGCCGGGCGTTGGTGGCACACACCTTTAATCCCAGCACTTGGGAGGCAGAGGCAGGTGGATCTCTGTGAGTTCGAGGCCAGCCTGGTCTACAGATCGAGTTCTAGGACAACCTCCAAAACAATACAGAGAAACCCTGTCTCGAAAAACCAAGAAAAAAAAAAAAAAAAAGAAAACCAACCAAACAACAACAACAAAACACCAAACAACAAAGAGGAGGAAGAAATGATGATTTTCTATAACTCAATAATAGACCAAAAAAAAAAAAAATAGCTGGGCATTAGTGGCACATGCCTTTAATCCCAGCACTCGGGAGGCAGAGGCAGGTGGATCTCTGTGAGTTCGAGGCCAGCCTGGTCTACAGAGCCGATTCCAGGACAGCCTCCAAAACAATACAGAGAAACCCTGTCTCGAAAAACCAAGAAAAAAAAAAAAGAAAGAAAGAAAATCCAAGTTTATAATGGCAATAGTTCAGTCAACAGTTTCAAGAGGACATTCAGATTGTCAACAAGCACCCCAAAAACATGCCCACTGCCACTTTATCTTAGTCACTAGGGAAATGCAGTGAGGCCACAAGGAGATACTTCTTCAAACCTACAAGGATGGCCATGATTTTAATAAACACAAAGTAAGTATTGGTGGAAATGTGAAAAGATTAGAAGCCTATACTGTGCTGGTGGGAATGTCAATTGGCAGATACAGAAAACCATGTGACAGTGCTGGGAATAGTAACTGGAAGTTACCTCAAGATGCAGCAGATCCTCTCCTAGGTGTGCACTGAAAAGAACTGAGAACATACACTCACACAGATGTTCATATCATTGTTCACACTAGCTGGATAACTCTAACAAGGAAATAATGGAATATCACTCGGCTGTTAAAAGTAATGAACTAGAGGCTGTGGGTAGTTTAATGGTATGGCACATGCTTGACATCTACAAGGCCTTGGGACCAACCCCTAGCATTGTTTTAAAACTGGAGTATGTCTAGGTGTGGAGTGCACATCTTTAACCTTACTACGAGGTAGACAGAGCAGATGGATGTCTTGAGAGTTTGAAGGCAGGCTGGTCTACATAGTAAGTTCTAGGCCAGTCAGGGCTACATAGCAAGACTCTGTCTGAAAACAAAAAACAAACAAACAAAACTCACAAAAACACAGCAAAAACTGAAAACACAGTACTGACACATGGCATATCATGAATGAACCTTGAAAACACAGTGAAGTGAGGGAAGCCCAGCAGAAAAAGCTACTCACAACCATATGTAAAGTGTCCAGAACAGCCGGGTGGTGGTGGCGGCGGCGCACGCCTTTAATTCCAGCACTCGGGAGGCAGAGGCAGGCGGATCTCTGAATTCGAGGCCGGGCTGGACCGATAGCCTCCAAAACAATACAGAGAAACCCAGTCTCATAAAAACCAAAAAAAAAAAAAAAAAAAAAAAAAGTGTCCAGAACAGTAAGTAGACTAGTGGCTGTCAGGCAACAGGGTGGGGGTGGGAGTGTAAGGAGGCCACTGACAGGTATGGTCTTCTTTCCAGGGTGATAAGGATACTCTGGAATGAGACAGTCCTGGTGGCTGAATGGCCTCATGTGTATACTAAATTCTATTAACTGGGACACTTTGAGGGGATTTGTTCTGGTTAGTTTTATGTCAGCCTGAGTTCAGGTTCCTGTCTTGACTTCCTGTACTGACTTCCCTCAGTGATGGAGTGTGACTCGACAGTTGTAAGCCCTTTACTCCCCATGCTGCTTTTGGTCATGGTGTTTTGCCACAGCAATAGAAACCCTAATTAAGACAGGAATTATACTTAGCTTTTAGAAGGGCTGAACATGGTGGGAAGAGAAATCTAAGCAGAAGGGTCAGAGTGAGGGAGGACATGGAAACCACCAGAAAGCAGAGCACACTTAGGTCAGCGGAACCAGGTCAGACATGGGGTGCAGGATGCTTGCACAAGAGCAATACAAACTGCACAAACTAGGGATCCAAGGTGTTGGCAGGAAATATGGCAACTTATTTATTATTAAGCCTTATATGGCAACTGAGAAAGACCCACAGCTTGCCTTGGCCTCCTAGGACAACAATGTGACTGGTTGCTGGGTTCCATCCACCTTATCAAGAAGCCTCCTTCCTTCACCTCAGAACCAGCCCTAGGCTCTAATACATTGGAAGTCTACTCCACATTGTCCTCACTATTTATGAAACATATCTACTTATTCTATTGGTTATTTTGAGCTTTCTCCAAGCACAGCATAATGAAGACAGCCTTGCCTGAGTCCAGAGTACTATGTGACTTCCTAAGGCAGTGAATGAGATTGGTAATTTTGACAAAAATGACTTTGCGAACTTAAAAAACTTTGGTTTCCATTGCAGTCCTATTTTGAACAGCTTCCTCATCACAAATTGCTTCAAGAGAACTGGACCTATCCCTAACCCTGTTGGTTTCTCACATGCTGACTGTTGGATTTCACTTTTCTCCGATGGTCCTAACTTCCTCTCACTCACCACAGAGCTCTGCACATTCTGCTCACGTCTCCTGCCTCCACCTACTAGCTGAAGCACCTGAAGACAATGCCTATTCCTTTCCCAGTCGTGTGTGAGGCAGAGTTCAAGCTGGACTAGTCAGCCAGCAGCAAACAATGATGGAGTTCAGAGACAGAAATAATTGCCATCACTAAGGTTTGAAGAAACCATAAAAGAAACTCCATGAAACAGGATGCAGACATTAACAAGCGGTGCATGCCAAGTCAGCCCGTGACCACTGCCATGTTTACTTTAATCACACGGGTCTCATTTTGCTAAAACTCCAGAAGACTGAGACAAAAAGGATGGCTTTCCAATTGCTATGCTCCCAAACCTATGGTTGCCTATGATATAAACACAAGACTCTGGAGGTATGGTTGATATTTGCTGGTGTGCATCTGGAGAGAAATGGATGTGAGAAAAGGGAACTTGAGGGAAGTCTTCCTAATGAACTGACAGCTCATATAAGCAACACCTGGAGTGTTAAAGCCTCCATGTGTTATTTTACTGAGAAAAAAAAAAGATTGCACTCTTCCTTCGGCTGGTGTGAAAATCTATTGGCAGCTGTGTTTCAGACTGCGGTGTGTGGCAGTGCAGGAGATGGCAGCTGGAATGGATCACACTCAGGATGTGCAGAAAATCTGCCAGCAGCGAGGGAATAGCCAGACCCCAGGAAAAGAATCCTTACAGCCCGCTTCTTTAAGAGACAAGGCTAGTCTCCAGCTCCTGTTTACAGTGTGTGGCTGTGGATCCCGCCTGGGATGCCGGCTGGAGATCCTGGCTGGGCACAGGATTGGCCTTGAGAACCGGAGCTTTGGAACATCAGCTGCTTCTTAACTTCCTACTTCACTCCTTAAAAACCCAAAGCCAAAGTTTTGATTTTAATCCTATTTTTGTTAAATAGTTATAATCTACTTTAAAGCCAAACTCAGACCAAATGTCTGCTTCCTGAGGCATGGTATTCCTCTTGTCAAGAGGGAGGAACCAAGGCTTTCTGAGCAGTTGACTGGCACCACCAGGCACTCATTGCTGTCCATTCTCACAGCTCTGGGAGCCAGCCAGATGCATTTCACACAGAGGAGATGGGTCTGCACAGGTTCAGTCATCTGTGCAGTGCTCCCAAAAGGAAAACCAGAAAATGTAGGTCTGTCTGACCCCAGTGTCAAGGCTTCTCCCACTACCCCATGTCATAAATTCTGCCTAGATTCCCCAGACAAGTGAGTCTTCCAAGAGTCCATGACTAGATAGGTGTTGGAAAGCTTTTGCTGGACAGGGTCAGCTGGTCAATGTTTTTGCTTTGTGGGTTATAAGGTCTCTGTTATAACGACTAATTTCCACAGTTGCAGCACAAAACCAGCCATGGATGGTGCATAAGTGAATGAACATGGCTATGTTCCATTAAGACTTACAGGAACAAGTGGCAGGCCTGTTATCCCTTGCTCTACAAGGCTTTTTGGGCTTAAAAGTCAACAAAGAATTGCCTACTTTCTACTTAATCTATAAACATGAAGTCTTCAATATGGTCTAGACATGTAAGGAACACTATTGTTCTTTTCTGAGAAAGGGTCTTCCTGTGTAATCCAGGCAAGCCTTGAACTTGAAATCCTCTTGCCTCAGCCTTCTAAATCCTGAGATTATATGTTAAGAGTCACCATATTCCTTAGGAATTTACATTCTTTGGGGAAGAAAAGACAGGCATATAAAACCCCAAACAGCAGCACATGGTGAGCATGCTGCTAAGGGTCATAGGGGCTGAGGATACATTAAAACCAGAGTCCACTATGTGATCAAATTATCTCATCACCAAAGCCCAGGAAGAGCCGGAACCTCTCACTGGGCAAGACTGAGCAGAGCTGGGAGTCGCTGCTGTAGAGCTCACCAAGCTGCTCATCCCACAAGAGCACAGATAGGTTTCAGCAGGAGACTCACTCCACCCCATCCCCACCCCACAAAAAGGCCAGCAACAGCCCCAGGTGCCAGGTATAGTGAGCCTAGCAGGAACTCTGGGAGGCCTCCCCTGGCCCCTCAGGTGACACTAAGAGTCAGAACACATAAGGGAAGGCACGGATGTCACTCTGGTAGGAGGCCAGCTCCTAAAACCTCACCTTGCTCATGGCAATCAGGGCAGGATCACAGGCTGCATCCAAATCCTGAACCAACAGCTGGATGCTGCTGGAGATGACGCTGCAAAGAAACAGATGTCGTGTTTACTGCTCTAAAAAGTGATGGGATGATGGACATGGCCCCCATAGGTGTTTTCGACATGTATGCAAATTTTAAATTTGTCTTTTCTTTATGAAATTTTGGGTTTTAATCACTGATAATGGAGGGACAGCTAGCTCTTCATGTCCTGTTCTTATTTGGATGTGTCTTATCTAGTTAGGACCTAAACTCCATGGAGTCTCTTTGAGTTCCCCTCCAATAGCATCTGTATTAAAAAAAAAAAACTTGTTTAAGTCAGAATGAGGAGGGGGAAGAGGAGGGAGAACAGGGCACAGCTTCTCATGGCTGGTGGAGAATGCCCAGGGAACACTTAGATTCTGTAGGGACTAAAGCACACACCACTTGTGAAGAAGAAAGGCTGACTTGGAGCAAGTGCCTGGAAGGTACGTACGTGCTGAATGTGTCCATTTCTCCCGTGAGATTAATTCGTTCAGTCAGACTTACATCAACTTTTTCTTTGAGTTTTTCTTCTAGCTGTTAGAGAAGGGATGAAGCAGAAGTAAGTTTAATGATTATCCAAAGGTGTTCTATACTACTAACTGAGGCTCAAAGGGATGAACCAGACAGGTCCAGGCACAACATGGGGACACATTTAATTCTTACCAGGATGTGAGGGAAGTCCCATTGCCCTCACTTCATAGATGAGGTCTACTACAAGAAGCAGGTGGTAGGGCCCAAATCAGCTTCCTAGAACCCAGCTCCTTTGGCACCACATCGGGTTTCCTTCTAATGGCATATCAATAGCTCCTATGGCTTGTCCTCCACAGGCTCCTGCTCTGAGTGTCCCTGGTGGTGGTGCTATTCCCAAGGCTGTGGAGCCTTTACGAGTCAGAGTGTAGACCTCAGAAGCTGAGTGAGAGCTTTGGAAAGTTACAGGAAAGCCCTGCTTCCAGGCCACTAGCATGCAAGGAGCCTCTTTATGCCCTCACAGCCAGGATCACTGGGCTCCTCCCTCTGCCACAGACTGCAGTAACCTCTCCTCCCTTTAGCTGTATCTGAAAAGTAACAAGTATGGTCTCCCTGCATGCCCCATGAAATGTAGCCTCATGCCCCATGAAATGTAGCCTCAGGCACCAGTGTTGGGAACTGTCAATGTGAGTGACAGTAAAATCAGCAGAAACATTTGCCTAGTGTTTCTATGGCCACTACCTTCCCAAGGTGCCAGATGTCTCAAGTGCTGAATTAGAAATACATCTTCACCTTGGTCAACCTAGGGCTTAGGGTAGGAACACTCATGTACTCCTGAGCCTTAAAGAAAAATCCAATTGATCAGGATCTGAGAGATCTAAAATGCCCTGGGAATTGATAAATCTAGCATTCCTAAATCAATCACACTCACTCTAAGAAAAAGGAACGCTCTGCATTAAAATGTAAAGTGTGCTTGGAGCGCTGGAGAGAAGGTTCAGTTCCCAGCATCCACATGGTGGCTCACCACATCCTGTGACTCCAGTTTCAGGGGATCCATCACCCTCCTCTGGCCTCCATGAGCACTGCATGAATGTGGTGCACATAAGTCACACATAGATATTAAAGAACTTAAAAGCAAAGTTCTTAAAGGTGTGCAAATGAGGATAACCTTTTTAGAAGGCAATTTATAAACTGATCTGGCAATTTCACATTTAGAAATGTATTTTCATGAAATAATGAGAATAATGTACAGAGCTAAGCAAGGATTCTAGGCAGTGTTTCATCCCACCACTACTTAGGGAAGCCTGTCTTGTGCCAAGCTATCTAGAGGGGTGAAGGGCCATTCAGAGAACCCAATGGGTCAGATCCCGCATCTGTAAAGTTCTATCCAGAAGGGTTTTTATTATTGAAAACCTGGGGACAGCCTACATGGACACCTACGAGGTAGGATGAGACAGTGTGCACATGCCTAGTGGCCTCTGCTGTCTCATTGAAGATAAATCCTAGATTAAGCATGACATAGGTCCTGTCTACCTTTCTGGTCTCATCCTGCTGTTTCTGCCTTGCCTCTCAGGACCTTCATACTCCATACTTCTTCCCTCTAAAATGCCCCTGCTCACCCTCCTGAACAAGCCCCCATTTCTTTGCCCTTCCAACTCCTCTCTTGGCATTTGTTTCTTCTCCCACACTTACCACAATGGTAGTGAAACCCTGGCTTTGCTTGCTTGTTATTTGTTTCCCATCAGTATGAGGCTCCTGACAAAGATGCCTGGTCTCTCTGTGCCATCACCAGAGGCAGTGCCTGGTATAGGAACTGTCTGGTAAAGCTCTCTTGATGCTCAGGGAGACCCTGGACTTCTGAGTCTCCTCTTCTACCTCTAAAATATGGAGCTTTCAGGACAAGTGTGCACCACCATACCCAGTGTAAGTGGAGTCAGGGATGAAAGCCAGGGCTTCATGCACGCTAGGCAGACCTGGACCAACTGCCCTGCTTCTGTTGCCACCCTGCCCACTCAGCCTGGAGTCAGTTATTTCTCCAGGAATCTCTGTTTCTTCTAAAGGAACATGGCCTTCACACACAGTAAGATGATTTTCACTAAATTAAAAAACAGCTACACAAGTTATCAAAATGGTCTCTGGTTTACTCAGACTTTTAAAATACCTAAGAATCTGTTCTAGAAAGACAACATAAGACCTTTAAGATACTATGTTCAGAAAGATGGTTTTGTAAGATTATTTATAGAAGCAAAACTTTAAAGCAGTATAGATTATTAACATGGCTATTATTAAATATTCACTAATCCTTTAATGGAATATTACATATCCATAAATAGTAGTAATAATAAAGACAGCTTAGTAACAGGAGAATGTAAGACACTAATACTAACAATAAAAGGATATAAAAGTGAGCTAAGATAACTGCATACAAAACTATGTTTATAAAATAACTCAAGTTGCTACTGTGATTATTGGAGGATGATACCATTATGAATAGGCTTGGGGTGTGTGTATGTTCATGAAGATATTTTATTATGTATTTTAAGCAAAGTGCTTAAGAAGAAAGCGAGTCACAGCTGAGAATGTGGGTCAGGTTATGAAATGAGTCCCAAGTGCAATGCTCTGTTTGCATGCTACTTTGGTCACTTTACTTTTAAGATTCTGTATTAAAAGTCTGGCATGGGACCGGGCGGTGGTGGCGCACGCCTTTAATCCCAGCACTCGGGAGGCAGAGGCAGGCAGATCTCTGTGAGTTCGAGGCCGGGCTGGACCGACAGCCTCCAAAACAATACAGAGAAACCCTGTCTCATAAAAACAAAAAACAAACAACAACAACAACAACAAAAAGTCTGGCATGGTGGCACACACCTTTAGTCCCAGTACTCAGAAACAAAGGCAGATGAGTCTCTGTGAGTTCTGGACCAGCCTAGTCTACATACTGAGACCCTGTCTCAATCAAAGAGATATTATATGTCTTTCTTATACACTCTAAATGCCTATGTTCATTATGAGGGGCTCAGGGGTGTGTGTGTGTGTGTGTGTGAGGGGCTCGGGGGTGTGTGTGCGTGTGTGTGTGTGTGTGTGTGTGTCTCTGGCTCCAAGGCTAAAGTGGTCATCAAGTATGTATGTGACCATGGTCGTTGAGTACATATGTGACCATGCCACAAAGCAGAGTGTGCTACTGCCTTTGTCTCGGCATCTGGGCCCAGCTGGCTGACCCTCAAAGAGTCTGCTGGACACTTCCTGTGTTCACACCATGGCACATAGGGGTCCAAGCTGTCGTGTCTGAACTGCCCCTTGGGACTGACCTCTTAGACGATTAGGAAATAAGCATCAACATCAGGAAAAGCAGAGCTCTCCCAGGTCACTTTCTTGCTCTGAGCCTCAGGGGGACCCCAGACCATGGGAAAAAGAGCCTCTAACCCTGTGGAGAGCTGGTGGCAAGTTACCCTGCTCCTCCTTCTGTAAAGCTAGTTTGCTAAACTGCCTTCTGGGGGCTGCAGCAGAGGCCTCACCCTTTCTGCTTCACAGTCACATGTCAAACAATGGTTGTTATGGTGGACAGAGAATGCTAGAAAATGTTAGGAGACACATAAAATCCTGAAAGAGTCTGCTTATTAACATAAGAATGCAGCCACTGGGTTGGGTGACTCACCCACCAAAGGCTGGGCCAGGTTTATTGCTGCTTTTCTCATGAGGGACACTGTGCTACTGACTAATTTTAAGAGGTCCTACCTGGTTGGTAACTTACATAACCTGAGGGTGGAGGATGGCTGTGCTTCTCCTGTAAGATGGCTCCTGGAGCATCTCTGACTACATGGTAAGTATCTTCCTGTGAGACACACTGGCGTGCCCAAGGTCAGTTTGGTGGAGCTTAGCGGAGCTCCTGGGCTCTACTCCAGCTCTAGCTGAGGGTCTGGGAAGGCAGCATGCTCGGCTGGGTGCTCACCTGCTGGGTGGTAGCCAGACAGTACTCGGCTGTGCTGAGGATGCTGCAGATGAGGCACAGCTCCTCCAGAGTGAACCTGGCCACTTCCGAGCCCTCCTTCTCTTTGAGGAGGCTGCTGATGGTCAGTCCCCCGCTACTGCTGCTGGTCCTGAGGAAAAGGATGAGAACTAGTCAGGCTGCAGCTGCTAATTTGCTTCCTGAAGCTGGGCATTTAATGACAAAGAAAGGGGAGGAAGGGCTGGCAGCAGTACAAATAAATCAACACACAATGGGTCCCTTTGCCCCTGACCTTACCTTGACTGTCAATCTGTTAGAGTCTCTCACCCACAGGAACAGGAAGAGACAACGCCAAGAGAGAGCCAGTGAGCAGTGCTCACCTGGGGTGATCCCATTCTCACAGAGGAGGCAGTTTGGCCTAGTGCCTTGCTTGGGATTCCCCGCCGAGGTGCAGATGACTCTTGGGGGTCATCTGTAGCACAAAAGCTGCTTCCCCACCCATCTTTCTCAGTTAAGACGTGTGCGTATGGAACTCATAAGTGAACAAGCGGAGTAAGACAGCCTAACAGTGGCCATGTGTGTTAGGCTGAGAGCAGAGGTTGACACTGGGTGTCTCCTCTACCATTCTGTATCTTGTTTCTGAGATATGGTCTCTCACTAATCCTGGAGCTTGCCAGAGTTGGGCTGACTGGCTGCTATTGAGGCTCTGGAGTCTTCTTGTCTCTGCCTCCTAGTTTTGTGATTACAAGTGAGTGTTGCCAAATCCAGCTTTGCATGTTTGTGCTGGGCATCTGAACTCAGGTCCTCATGCTTGTACAAGAGACACTTTACCCACTCAGCCTTCTCCTCAGTCCCAATCCACCCATATCTTTAAATATAAGGCTGTGAATACGGCATTAGTGGCTGTGGAAGACAATGGGGGGCAGTGAGCTTGTCTATCTGGCACTCAAGGCATGAACACACTGAACATGCCAGAGGGAGACATTGTCTCTGCTACTAAATAACTTTCTGTTTTCCATGCTGAGTCCTTGTGCACTGAGTACATATGCATAATAGGCCCAACTCAGTGAAGCACCTTACCTACACTGGTGGATGGGGAACTGTTGCAGAACATTATTTTAAGATGTGTTACATTTGTTTATGCTGTGGAATATTTGTTTAATGATGCAAAGGTGTGCTGCATTCTTTTACATTGCCTTTAACTCTGTGAAGCTGTGCTACTTTGCCTGTCTAAAACACCTGATTGGTCTAATAAAGAGCTGAACGGCCACTAGCAAGGCAGGAAAAGGACAGACAGGGCTGGCAGGCAGAGAGAATAAATAGAAAGAGAAATCTGGGAAGAAAACAACTGAGGAACAAGAAAAGGAGGAGGACATCAGGGGCCAGTCACCCAGATACACAGCAAGCCACGGAGTAAGAAGCAAAGAAAGGTATACAGAAATAGAGAAAGATAAAGATAAAAGCCTAGAGGCAAAAGGTACACAGGATAATTTTAAGCTAAGAAAAGCTGGCTAGAAAGAAGAATAAGCCTATGTGTGACTTATCTGGGAGCTGGGTGGAGGTCCCCCAAAAGATCTAAAGAGTAAAAAAACCAGCTATAGGGAACATACCTGCTGACAGTCATGGTCTGCTGTGGACTGTCATTAAAGAAAACGGCAGCACAGTGCATCAGACCTTGGGGCCCAGGAGGAGTGTTTTCCTCCTCACACTCTTAGCAGCTCAGTAAACCCCAGAGTGGCTTTCCTTAAAGACTCCCATATTCAGGGATGCTGAGATGAGGAGATCAGGACTCACTTAGGGAGGTTGCCAGAGAGAATTTTCCAGGCATATTCTCGGAGGTACTTCTGGAAGATGGTAGTCAGGGCGATCATGGGCTCCCCAGTGCTGAGCTGTGAGCACTGCACCATGCACTTCTTGTAGTAGACAAAGAGGTCCGCGCAGCTAGGGAGTACAGCACCCACTTCATCAGTGTTAGGCTTCGGTGGGCCCTGGGCTTTGAAATCTGCCACAAACCGGTCTATCAGCTCACTGAGGTTTCTAGAAGAACAGAAATGTTGTTTCACTTGGAGAGATCAGGCAGGGATGCTGTGTGCAGTGGACATAAGCTGTTCCCACAAGTGCTCATTTCTGGTCCTACCCAAACTTACAAGTGGGTGCATTTTATCCATGTCACCACTAACTTCCCTGCTTAAAAAAATGATAGCAATAAAGTCTGACATTTGTACACTGCTTTGTTCCAAGGCATTTCATCATCATGTCTGACCTCAGGGCCCATGTGAGAGACAGAGCACTGCTGCTCCTCTAGAAAGTGAGAAAGTTGACACCTAAAACTCTGTCACAAAATTGGGTGACCTGTCACATAAGCATGCACCACACAATGCTGAGCACCAGCTGTGTTTCCTCAAATTAAAGTCCTGAATACTAATGATGGTAACCATTTCCTAAACACACGGTGGCCCAGTAGTCATGGCTGTGCTTTATACCCATGTCATGGAACTCTTCAACAGTAACCTTTGGAGATACTGATTTAACAATCCCCCTTCTCCAAAAGCCAGTCACAGAAAACTTAAGCACCTTATCTAAGACAAAACACCTTATCTAAGACAAGCAGGGAACCAGGATGCAAACCGAAGTAGTCTGAACCCAAGCTTCATGCTTTTCACGAGCCCATACACAGGTTCTGATGGCAGCAAAGATGTAGCCATTGCCTGCCATGAAGGTTGGAAATCCCTGGAATCATGGAGTCCAAGCAAGTCCTTCCTTCTTAAGGTGTTTCTGCTAAATATCTTGGCACAATGGCAAGAAAAGAAACAAACACCAGTGAGAAAAGCATAGTCTAACTCGGCTTGTCTAATCTTTGGAGAAAGAATCCTTCCTATGTGAGAAACTTTAACATTTACCAGGCCATTTCATAAAACTTACTTATTTTAGCTGGGCATTGGTGGCGCACGCCTTTAATCCCAGCACTCGGGAGGCAGAGGCAGGCGGATCTCTGTGAGTTCGAGACCAGCCTGGACTACCGAGCGAGTTCCAGGACAGCCTCCAAAGCCACAGAGAAACCCTGTCTCAAAAAACAAAAAAAAAAAAACAAAAAAAATTACTTATTTTTTACTATAATGTTATTTCCTTTCATATTTTACACATGGTTACTGGTATAAAGGCAAATGTGTCATGTGTTTATCATATAGAGAGAAACCTCGTTAACCTTGTAAGTTACAATAAATTTAGTGAGTTTGTAAACTTAAATGTATCCAAGTATGGATGGATGCCTGAATAGAGAGATTCCATTTAAACACCAAATGCCTTTCTTAAGATGAGCAGTTTTTTTCTTTTCTTTCTTTCTTTCTTCTTTTTTTTTTTCCAGACAGGGTTTCTTTGTAGCTGTGGCTGTCCTGGAACTCATTCTGTAGACCTTGAACTCAAAGATCTGCCTGCCTCTCTCTGCCTCCCAAGTGCTGGAATTAAAAGCATGTGCCACCACACAGTCCAGTTTTTTTCTTCTAACTTCCAGAATCAAAGATGCGAAAATATCTTGGGATAAGAGTGGCTAGGAACAGCTCTATGCCTGCCTGGTCATGGTGGTGATGGTGGCTGTGACCCGTCTCCACTCTCCCAGTCAAACATCCCTCAATTTGCCCAGTCACCCTGAGTCATCAGGGGCTGGAATCTAGCAGGGCTGACTGTCCTCTGCACAGCTGTGCTGTGTGGACAGTGGGAGGCCCCGCTCTTGACATGTAGCACCTTTTTAACTTGCTGGCTAAGGCTACAAGAATCCTGCTGTGTTTTATAAATATATTTATACAACAGGAAGAAAAAAGGCAAGAACCACACACAGCATCGATTAGCAGGAATACGAAACAATTGACATTTTACTCCAGTGCTTTTGTTACTCAAAGTTTATGACATCCAGATGTGGCAGCTTCACCCAGGCTAGGTCTCTGCTTGTGGAGAGAAGAGCCTCTTTAGTGGAAAGTGTCTTGGCCACCACCCCCATTCTGCACAAACTCTTCTTGCCCTACTTTCCCATGGACCTTCACAACTCTAGTGTACAACAGGCCTCTGCGCCGGCCAGGTACCTCTGTGGCAGTATTGCTGGGCCTTCACCTGTCACCTCCTGGCCAAAACACTTTCCGGCTAGCTTCCTAAGCCTAGGCCTCATTGCACAACTCAAACAATACCTGCTCCCTCAACTGGAAGTGTCATCACGGCCACTCACTGTCATGTGATTTGTTTTTGGTTTGTCCATCTGTTTTAAGACAGGATCTACTCTATAGCCCAGGCTGGCTCTGAATTAACAACTCTCTTCCTGAGTGCTGGGTTATAGTGCATGATATACACCTGGCTCTTACTATTTTTTTTTTCAGATAGGGTTTTACTATGCAGCCCAAACTGACTTGAAACTTGTGATCATCCTGCCTCAGTCTCCCCAGTGACAGAATGACATGTATGTGTCACAGCATCTGGTTTTGGCATTTGAGTTAATACTTTACTATAGTGTATGGTGTATCAAGCTTTCCTGCCCCAATGCACAGGGGGTGATATGAATCAACAGTACTGTTCCCTGTTCTATGCTGTAATCCCATAGTACTGGGGACAGCATTTCAGCCAGCACCTGGTGTAGAGGTAGCTGTTATTTCACAGCAGGAAGGTACCCTCCTTTGTATCCACGGTTTCGTCTCCCTTGGGAGGGGTGTTGTTCACACTCCCTCAGCCCACTGTGCAGGCTGGTGTGTCAGGCTAACCTTCATGTTGGTACCCAATGCATGCTAACTGATCACCCTCCACAGTTGGTTCCTAGGGATGGGCATAAAGCAGTACAGAAGTAGGGATGGAGTGGGGATGGGGCAGTGGAGGAGGAGGTGAAACACAAGGCAAAGAATGCACTGGAGTCTGCTGAGGAGTCTAATCTCCACACAGACGGTACCAACTGAGGCAGTGCTGGGAGTCATTCACTATAATCACTCTCTATCCCTAGCACCATAACTATTCTTACCTACTTCCTATTTCAGAGTCAACCTGATGAGTAAGATTACAATTAACTATGATCATACAGCATCGAGAAATTGTTCACAAAAAAAGCCCTCTAAAGATGTACATTTTATGGACTGTCCACCAAGTTACTTTTGACATTGTAAAAGTCACATTCCTGGTGAAAGGAAGCTTCCCTGTGCCCTCTTCCACTCTGCATCAGCATGCATCCATGTCATGTAAGACATGAGATAATGAGCTTTGCAGAGGAAGAGCAGAAGGTGCTCCAGTGGGAACCTGTGGGGTTCACTGCTTATGAAGTGCTGAGTCAGTCCAACTAAATGTCAACCACACACTCACTGTGTGCAAGACTCGAGGGTTGGAAGATACAAATAAATTTAACTTAAAAAAAAGGTTATCATTGCTTCCAGACATTTTGGAAAGATCTTCATGCAGAATTAATGGAGACAGGGATGTGTGGCACAATAATCTGTAGATTAGAACCACAAGGGAGTCTTTTCCACCCAAAAGCAAATATAAGCAAGTAAGAGTTTACAAATGGTCAAGTTCTGATCAGGGTCCGTGGAGTGTTGAGAATCTCTGAATGCTTAGACAGTGACAAAATGCTAAATCAGAGCAAGCTGTAGTGAGTCTGCAGCAGGTTCAGTGAAAGGACAGAAGCATGTAGCCAGAGGTGAGAGGTAGAACCAGAGGGCACGGGTACATAATAAGGTGAGGCCAGCCTGGGCTACATGAAATCCTGTCTCAGAAGTCCTAAACTACATGTGAAGAAGATATGAAGGAGAGGAAGAACTTGGCTGAGGGTAGAGATGCAAAGTAAAAAGTGTCTAACCTTGAGTGTGGCAGTCATATCCCTCTGAATTCTCACAGCAATCCCTTCAGATCTTCATCTTCTTTTTGAGATTTATTTATTTAATGTGAGTGTCTGTGTGTGTGTCTGTGCAACATGTGCATGCAGTATCTGAGAAGGCCAGAAGAGGGTGTTGGACACCCTGGGAATGGAGTTACAGATGCTGTAAGCCCCCACGTGAGCGTATCCAGTGCTCTTAACTGCTGAGCCAACTCTCCAGCCCTTCATATCTTTTTTTTTTTTTTTTGGTTTTTACTAGACAGGGTTTCTCTGTATTGTTTTGGAGGCTGTCGGTCCAGCCTGACCTCGAACTCACAGAGATCCGCCTGACTCTGCCTCCCGAGTGCTGGGATTAAAGGCGTGCGCCACCACGGCCCGGCTGCCCTTCATATCTTTAATGCTGCATAACACATGCTTTTTTCCTCTCTTCTTTTTGGTCTTTTTCTCCTATTAGCTTATAAGATATGTAATAAATACAATCTCATTTATTCATCCCATAACTTTAAATTTAAGATGTTATTATTGTTGTTTTAAAAGTGAAGAAACCAAGGTTGGTACTTGATGTGCCTTTGCCCAAGATCATAAATGTATTGTCACTAACTTGACTTCTACTATCCCACACTTTGACTATGCAGATACATGCCATACTGCTGTTCCTGACTCCCGAGCTGAGAGAAACATGGATGTGTGGTTTCTTTCTTTCTCTTCTTTGCAGCTTGAGCTTTGTTCCCAAGAATTGTGTGAGCATTTGCAGGTTTCACATGACACACTGTTTGTAGTCTGCTGATTTAGTTAAAAAATCTATAAGGAGTGAAGAGTTTTACAGGGTGGCATCATAAGGAGTAGAGTATTATAGTGTGGGAAAGGATTAAAACAATGGAGGAGAAACAATCATCTTCATTGCAGACTGGGCTTAGCATGATATCTGTTGATGGATCTGCAGTTAGCGTTCAGAAATAGAAGTCAGACGGGAAAGCAATATAGCAGTAGCACTGGGGAGCAGATGGCCCAGGAGCCCCACATAGATTCAGCAAGCATACTCTCAGGGCTACACCCACTAACAGCACCCTTTTAACTTCTCTTGGGCTGTGGCTGTTTACTTGGCTCTGGGGTGAGCAGTGGGGGTGGAAAGAAACTGGGATACCAGGAGCCATGCACACTTTTTGCTATTGTATTCTAGAAGGCAGCATGGGATTCC